GACCTTGGCTAATACACTTATTCTCTCTGTGCCTCAGGTTCCCCATCTGTTAAACAGTCTTATAATGATATCTACCTCATAAAATAGGAATTAAATGAGTGACTAAATGTGAAGGGTTTAGAACGGTGCCTGGCTCATGTTACGAAAGTCTTAGCGCCTACCATTAGCGCCCTTAGATCTTTTTGTTAGCATTAAATTCAGCATTTTCTTCCTATCAAAGCTGCTTAAATCCGTTAACCGGCATTTGATCCTCACGGACTCACTGTATTGTTGCTGTGTTTAAACAACACTCCTTATGTTAACAATTAGCATAATTTGAACCGCTCCCTAATAGCTAACCCCAATCCCACCCCGGACGGTCGAGCCTATCCACCCGCAGAGAACACCACCCAGCCTCGCCCTCACGCTGACACTCACCGGCCAGACTTTCCTCCGTCCGTTTTTTGCCTCTGGCCCAGGGCCCAGCTCACGCAGCGTTTTCGTGAGCTGCTTGAGAACCGTTAGCTACCGGAAGTGGCTAGAGGTCTTGCGAGAACTTAAAAAGGGGGCCGGCCTTTCCCGGCTGCCTAAACACTTGGGTTCCGGCCCGGAAGGAGGCCCAGGGTTCCCGTAAGGAGAAACAAGGGACCCATTTGGATGGGTCCAGAAAGATACTGGCGGCTGATTTGAACTAGGCTCGCCGCAGTGGGAACCTCCGGGATGCCTGGGGACTCGCATCTGCGGCGACCCGCAGTTTCCTGTCCCGACCCTCTCTCTGCAGCTGTCGACCTCGACCTGCGGCTTCGAGCGCGGGACCTCGCTGACCCTGGCACCGAGGGGGCGGAAGCCGAGGGGCCTTAGGGTGCAAGAGCGGTCCTGCTCCTGCCGCCTCGGGAGAGAACCCCATCGACCGCTGACCGGGAAGGGAGGATTTTCCCGTTTCGGTGCAGCCCCGCCGGCGGGCGCCTTAGTGTTCCTGGAGAGAGGTGGGCTGGGACGTTCTTGACTTTAGGATGGGCTGGGGGAGGGGCGCCGAGGAGCATTTCCCACTTCACGTCGCGAGGTCGCAGACTGCATTTGCTGATGCATTTGCTGCATGTGCTGATGCATCTGCTGCATGAGCTGATGCATTTGTATTTGCTCGCTGTGATCTGGCAGGACCTTGCGGACTTAACCGAGACGAAAGTGGCCTACTTTGAGCTTCTCTGATCCTTAGGGGAAATGAGTGTCCAGAGCGAAAGAGGAGCAGAGTTCTGGCACTAGAATCCTTTAAACCTGGATTCAAATTCTGACGCCACCACTCTCCAGTTACGACTGAGGGCAATTTATTTTTTAACCTCTCCAAGCCTCTGTTTTCTCGTTTATTAACTCAGGCTAATAACGTGGTGCCTATTTCGTAGGGTGGTTTTGACTGTCAAGTGTGAGAATGCACGTGAGAACATTCTAAAGCCCTTTCCCTACCTTCCCCCTTGTCTGCTGTCACTCTCATCCATGTCAGACAACTGGAACTAATTAACCAACTTTCGCTTTTGTGAAGCATTAGTAAAGAAAAGTGAAGTTCAGGACTTGTAAAGGAGATTCTGAGATCCACAGAGATGCTCATCCCAGCACGTTATCCTCGCCTAGCGTCCGGCACATGGTGGGTGCTTGGTAAGTCCTTGAATGAATGAGGACGTACTTAGGAAGAAGGAATTACTGAGTAAGACTAGAACAGAAGGGAGAGGATGAATCAGATTGATTAGCTACTTGATAAAGAAAGGCAAACCATTTTTCCTGTCAGAAATGTATGGTGTATCTGCATATTTGAAGGGCTTGCCACTTGCTAGAACTGGGAGGGAGATCTCAGAACAGACACCTCAACTAAAGAAGCTTTAATCTGTTGATAGCAAATGTAACAATAGCAAGTAAATAAGAATGTGATCAGTGCAAAATAGAATAATAGAGTCATGAGAGAGTTATTAGAATAATACACGAGTGTTTAGAGTAGTGAGCAATGAAATAAGTCCTTTGACTTGGGAGTGCAAGGGAATTGTGACCAGGGGTATGGAATAGGGAGAAGGTTATTCTGGAAGGCAATAAAAGGCAGACAGGACACTAGTGGTAGAAACAAAGGAAAACAGTTGTCTATCAATGTCCGTCAATGGGGGAAGATTACATATGACATATGCTATTAAGGAATACCTTTCAACGGTTAAAATGATAATCAGTGACAAAAGGAGTGTCAGTACAATATATATTTCATTTTTCTTGAAAAAATGCATATGTAGATGTAATTTGGGGGGTATTTGTGCAGGAAAAGGATGCACTCCAAACTTGACAGTGATTACTCCATGTCAAAAGTTGTGAAATTCCTACCCTACTTGCAAGGTAATAATTTAGCTTGCCATAGTTTTATGGATACTAAGAGAAGACACTGGACTCCCGTGTCAGAGACAGAAGACTTTATTATTTAATAACACAGGCATCATGAGCTTTATATTCCCTCATTGCCAAAGCTTATGTTCCCAAAGCCCACAGCGGGGGCTAAGCTCGGCCTTCTTCTCCTAGCATAGAACAGTGGGTTTGCATACTAGCAGAGGTATTCTAAGCTTAGGAAGCCTAAGAGTGAACCTTGCCCCAGTGTGAGCCATTATCTTTATTATCCTGATCAGGAAACAAATGTGCTATAGAAGAAGATACAAACATCCTTGAAAAGCTAACCTGAAAGAAAAATCTACCATAAGACTAGAAGTAATTTGAGAGACCATTAAAGAACTGTCTCCCAACATTCTAGGTAAATAGCAGTTGAGGGTAGAAGTGTCAGCTTTTAAAAATTATATATAATTCTATATTGATTTTTATCATTTTTTTAATTTTTAAAAATACAAAAAATAAAAGGCAAGCAGAGAAGTTTAAATTTTACTTGGAGATAAGGAACCACCCAGAGTTAGTGATTGGGAGAATGATAATGATATTTAAGGACCACGTCTTGGATAGTTAGGAATACTATCTCATAGCCACATAAGTATTGTGTTGCAATCACATAGGTGTGATGTAATTAGAACTGAGGATGCTGGTTACATTAATGGAGAAAAGTAACATTTCAAAGGAGAAATCTGGCTCTGACAATTTCTCCTTTATCTCATATTTCATTGAGTAAACCAAGGAAGCCTCTTAAGCCTGAATAACTTAGAAATTGGTGATATTATCAACCATTCTAACGGTTATGTGGTGGTAACTCATTGTGGTTTTAACTTTGCATTTCCCTGATGAATAATGATTACTTTTTAATGTACATACTGGCCATGCATTTATCTTTTGTAAAGAAAGTGTTCAAATCTTTTGCCTATTTATGTTGGATTATCTTATTCATTAAACTTTGAGAGTTCTTTATATGTTCTGGATACTAGTTCTTTGTCAGATAGATGTATTACAAATATTTTCCAGTGTGTAGTTTTTCTTCACTTTCTTAATGGTGCTTTTTGATGAGAAGATTTAAATTTTGATGAGAATTTAAATTTAAAAATTTGTAGTCAAATTTATTAATTTTATCTGTTGTAATCAGTGCCTGTGTGTCCAGTTTGAGGAAACTACCTATGGCTTGCCACTTTTACTTCCTATGTGTACACAACTTTGTACATAGTATGTGCAGTCATAGTTGTGTGCACATTGCTTTTGTACAACTACATATCTGCACAACTTCAGATTTAAAAATTTATTATTTATTTGTTTGTTTATGTTGAGACAGAGTCTTGCTCTACTGCTCAGGCTGGATCTCGGCTCACTATAGCCTCTGCCTCCCAGGGTCATGTGATTGTCCCGCCTCAGCCTCTGGAGCAGCTGGGACTACCGGGGCCCGCCACCACACCCGACTAATTTTTCTATTTTTTGCAGAGAGGGGGTTTTGCCATGTTGGCCGGGATGGTCTCAAACTCTTGAGCTCAGGTGATCCTCTCGAGGCTTCCCAAAGTGCTGGGATTACAGGTGTGAACCACTGCACTCAGCCAAAAAAAAAAACTTTTTAATGTAAAAAAAGAAACTGAAAGAGTTCTAGTCTGACACCAGTTACTTCCAGTTACCATCCCAGCTGGAAGGCATCAGCTGTGAAATAAAGAGCAAAAATAAATACTATTAAATACCACCATGTGCCGGACGCCTGTGCGGTGGTGAAGGAGTTCAGGAGCATTGTAGCTTCCTTGTGCTTTTTATTTACTTGTTTTCATGTGATAATTAGATGACAAAACCCTTAAACCAAAACAACCTGGTTAGTACACAAAATACTGAGAAGTTAGTAATTGGGAAGGGTTAGAAACATTGGTGGTGGCTACCAGTAGGAGCAGATAAAGAGAGATATTAAGGTGCAAATTGAAGGAGCCCTGATAATAAATACGTGGTCGGGAAAGGCGTTGAAGTAAATAAATACGTGGGACCTAAACCACAAAAAATAACACATCCCACAACCTCCACCCCTGAAATCCTTTTAGTCTGAAAAGTTAAAAGCACTAATGCAACAGGTACCATGGCAAGTACCATGCCACAGAGATTTCACAAAACTGAACTGTGAGGAGCAGGAATTCCTCACGAAGTTTGGAGTCGATGTGGGAGGGCTGGATTATATTTATGAGTCGAGAACAGTAAAGTACAGGGTATGTACAAACGCGAGTCGTTAGCATCCTAAGGATTCACGAGGTGCTGCTCCTCCAACACCTTCCCAGCCTCCTGTTCACAGCTCCGGCTTTCTCACTTTCTCACGTCGGATATCGGCCCCGAGGTGACCGTGGCTACTGCCAGCGAACGCGCAGAGCTGCACGGGCACACAAGGCGGAGGGGACACCAAAGTCCGTTATTGCCCAGCACGTCCACTGCCCCAGCGACCGCGCAACCCTGAGGCATGCAGAGGCGAGAGGAACCCTGGGCCCAGCACGCCGCAGGTGAGGGGCGTGGTGCTTTGGTACCCTCAGTTGCCCGACCATAGAGCTTTTAGACCTCCAAGACTCCTAGAGAGCTTCCGGAAGTGCCTTTGGGGCAAGATGCGTGCTGGCCGGTGCTGTGCCTCCGCTGATTTGGGAAGTTAGTGGCCGGAGGGGCAGGTCGAGTGTAATTCTCGTCCCCTTTTCTCCCCGACCTCCTTCCCTGTCTGTTTATCTTTTGCAGCCTCCCTTCCCCACGCCGGGCCGCCTCTGCAACTCACAGTGAGTACGGTCGGGCTCTGGGCCGGAGGAAAGTGGGTGCTTTGTGGCTGGATCAGGCCGCAGCCGAGGACAGGCCTGAGGGGTCCGCAGAGGGGCCTGTGCGGTGGTCGGCGCCGGGGAACGATGCCGACGCCTTGTGCTGGTGTAGGCAGAGGACGTGCCCGCGAATTGCCCTCGAACTTTTTGCGAGGGAACACTTTCTATGACGGTTCGCTTTCTCCATAGCTAATCGTTTTGTGGTATGATTTTGTAGTCGATCGTATTTATTTTAAAATGGGGAACTGCCCCCCCATGTTATTTTTTATCCAGCTATTTCCAGGGTCAGAATTGTTTTCATTTAGCACTATTTTGCGTTTCGGTCACAAAAAAAGTTCTCATTTAAAAAAAAAGAGGTTATTTTGCTTTTGGAAGCCCCAGTTATCCACAAAAATCCATTTTTGCTGTTAATTCTGCTTTCTTTAGTGTATTAAGAAACTGGTGGTGTGTTGACTGGATAATTGTACAAAAGGGTTTTTTGTTTTTGTTTTTTGTTTTTTATATCTGTAATACAGAATTCAACATTATCAGAATGCCTGTTTCATTTGTTAAAGCAAACTGAAGTTAGCCAACGCGGAACTCTGGGAGGGGCCCCATTTCCAAAACTGGTTAGTAATGAGTAATTTTTGTCAGGCTACTTTGCCACCGCCACCTTTAAAAACATTTCTGTTTTTGTTAGTTCCGTTGAGTATATTTACGTAGCAATCATTGTTTTAGCAAATGTATACATGTTTTGAATTTCTGTTGTGAAATGTAAAATGTCATAGATGTTAATTAAAACTTTCAGCTAATGCAATTTGAGATAACAGTAAAGCATAGAAAATGTAAAAGAAAAATGTAAGGAGAAATTGTAAAAATCAATCTATATTTACGCAGTGCTTACCAACTTAATACAGACGTGTGTACAAAACTAAGAGGAAGTACATAGTGGAGTAATTTTGCACTCATTTATTTGTAAGTTGTAATTCTCAACAATAGCTGATTAGAGAGGGAAAAGACTAAAAAATGGAAAATTAGCCACTAAGTAGAATAATCAAGATGGGCAATGGACAAGACCTGTTGGCTTATTTGGTATTAAAAAATCGACAAACCTGAAAATTAGCTGGCTTTCATCAGTGTCACTATTGAGACTTTAATGCCACATCAACACTATAAAGTTCTTGAATGCTGCACACTTCACATTAAAATAATTTATAGGCTTCTGTACTGGTGAGCAACACTGCTCTCAAGCCTGAGCGACATAGTGAGACCCTGTCCCTAAATAATATTAATAATAATAATAAGTATTTTATAGCCATTATTGATGAGGATTGCCCAGTAATGGATGGCCAATTGTTCAGTAGTTAAAAATGAACCTTGGCTTAAAGGAGATTTACAAGAAAGCAAGATAAGACTATCACCATATAACATCACATTCTAAACCGTTAGAATTTATGTCCCATGTAATGACCTTTAAGTTTTTAGCATTAAGCCATAAGTAGCTTTTTTAAGAAAATGTAAATTTGTTAAATTGTAATTGATTTAAAAAATTATTTTAAAATGAACTAAGAATTTTATAATTATCTTAAATTATAATGTATTCAGACAGAAACAAATAGATAATTTGTTCAAACCAGATTGACTACCCTTTCTCAACAGAATTTCAGCATCTTCCTCAGATTCACTGTTCACCCAAATCTCACTATTCTAGCCAATTCTTCCACTTTTCTGTAAAGTCATCATCAATGAATTTGACCCCTGATGTTAATTGTTATATTTAACTATATATTTTGCTCCTTAGTACTTCTAATCTGTAGTTTACTCCCCATCCCGTTGTTTCTGGCCTTGTCTGACTTTTAAAATAATTTTCAAATTCCCTTCCTTTTCTGTACACACTCTCTAAATAGAATTTGTGTGTTTGTCTTTAACGTTCCTGGCATTCTTGGATGGCCTTTGAGTCTGTGAACTCTGCTGAAATTGAATGTAAAATTTTGTGTTTATGAACATTTTGCTGGAAAGAAGTTCTGTGTTTTCTTTAAGTTGAAGAGTCTAAACCAACTGCCCCCCTACCACCTCCAAAAAAAAATGAAAAGTTAAGCACTGCCTTGATGATCCATATTGGGAACTATATGTACAGTACTCTGATTTTATTCCTAAGTACTTTTCTTTTCTTTGTGGACTATAGGTCTCTGGTTTTATCTTGATGTTAGCATCTCATGCCAACTGGTTTTAGGTGTGCTACCTTTATTTAACGCTGTTCTTCATTTTGTACGGTGTTGCCTGAAATACAAAGATAATGATCACCTTCACCAACAAACATTTGCACATTCTCACAATGCAATAAGTCCTATATTTGGACCATATAAAAAATGCTTTGGTAGGAATGACAAATGGCAGGGGAATGACAGAGAAGAACTCATCAAAAAGGTAATAGATAAATTACTGTTAACAGTTGAATGGTTTTAGCTAGACCAAGATTTATCAACCTTGGAATTGACACTTTGGGCCAAATAATAATTTGTGGTGGGGGCTGTGTTGAGCATTGTAGGATCCCTGGCCTGTATACACAAGATAATAGTAGCAACCCTTCCCTCCAAAGTCATGACAACCAAAATATTTACAGGCATTACTAAAGGTCCCTGGAATGGGGGTAAGGATGATATTGCCAACAGTTTTGAACCACTGAGCTGCAGTAGAGAACTCTGTAGTCGAATGGAAGTATGAGGAAGCTACAGCCCAAAAGGCTTTATGAAAGTGAGTTTAAAGTAGTTAAAAGCCAGGTAGGTTTACATTTATAAAGGGCCTTGCATACTGTGCTAAAGAATTTTCTTCCCTATTGAAGTATTTTCAGGAGGTGAGTCATATTACATGTTTTTTCAAAAATCTCCCTGGCAGTTTAGGGCTACTGTAAAAAAAAAAAAAGTTTCACAAAATTGGTAGTTTTAATACAGTAGACACTTACTGTCTCATAGGTAGGGAGGCTAGATGTCCAAAATCAGGGTGTTGCCAGGGCCATGCTCTTCTAGCTTCTGGTTGTCACTGACAAACTTTGGCATTCCTTGGCTTGCAGCTGTATAGCTCTATCTTTGCTTCTGTTGTCACTTAGCTCTCATTCATCTGTGTGTCTGTGCCTTCACATGATCTTCTCCTTTCTGAGAGTCTGTCTCTGTGTCTTTTCGTCATTTCTCATTTTGAAAGTGTGCCGGTCATACTGGTTTAATAGCCTGCCCATTTCAGTATAACTTCATCTTAACTCGATTACATCTACAAAGCCCATATTTCCAAATAAGGTCACATTCACAGGTACTGGAGGTTAGGACGTCAGCGTATCTTTTTGGAGGACACATTTTAATCCACAGCAGACAACATTGTGGAACACGAATAGGAAAAAGCATAACCAAGATTACCACTGCAATTCTAGGTAAGAGATGATGTCAATACCAAAGATAGAAATCATAGACGTATATTTCACAAAGAAATGGGATCATGGAGTTGAACTTTTTTTGGATGTCAGGTGTTGTTTGTAAACCTGACTCTTACAAGAAATATAAACATATTCTGTGTTGGCTGTTGTAAATATGGCTAATATTTTTTGATTCTGTTAATAAGATAAAGATACGGATCTTTGCCCATGGGGAAAATACAATTAAGTTATGAAGTCAGAATTCCTTTGGAACTAATAAGTATACAGTTACAGGAACAGTAACGTTAAAGCAGTACACATTTAAGTAACAGAGGTATAGAATGAGAGGAAAATAACTTCCAACTGGAGTCACCGGAAAAGGATTTTAAAGGTGACGGTATTTTATCTTGTCCTTTAAGAAGATAGTGTTGGTACTGTTGAAAGAAGTCAAAGAAGACTTCAGCGGAGAGACACATTGTGGTCATGGAATGGAAGACTCAATATTGTTAAGATATCAGTTGTCCCTAAACTGACCTATGGATTCAGTACAATACAATTCAAGGATTTTTTTTTTTTTTTTTTTTAGAAATAAATACACTGATTCTAAAATATGTATCAATAGACAACAGAAGTAGAAAAGTCAAAATGATTTTGAAAATGAACAACAAAGTTGCAAGACTCACGCCTACTTGATTTTAAGATTTTAAAAGTCACACAATCAAGACAGTTCTGTATTGGTGAAAGAATAGATGCATAGGTCAATGAACAGGATAGAGATTCAAGAAATAGACCCTTATGTATACATACATATAGTGAACTGATATTTGACAAATATAGAAAGTTACATGGATAAAAGGAGAAGCCTTAAAATGATCCTCCAGCCATACCTCAGATTCTATATAAAAAATTAACTCAAAATGGATCATAGGCGTAAATGTAAAACCTAAAACTTTTAGTAAAAAACAGGAGAAAATATTTACGACCTTGGATTAAGCAAAGATTTCTTAGTTGTGACACCAAAAGCACAGTCTCTAAAAAAATATGAAATTTTGTTCTTCAAAAGGCCCTGTGAAAAGAAAGAAAAAGAGAATACTTACAAATTACATACCTCATAAAGGACTTGGGTCCAGAGTATATAAGGAACTCTCAAAACTTAATTTTAAAAACTAATTTAAAAAATAGGCAAAAGTTATGGACAAATACTTTACTAAAGAAGATATATAGATGTTAAACACCTAAAAAGATGCTCAACATTATTAGTAGGGAAGTACATACTAAAACCATATGAGATATTAAAACTGTGATGAGTTGCCACTATACATACACCTATTAGAATATCTAAAATTAAAAACAAAAACAGTATCAAGTGCTGGTCAGAATGGTGAGCAACTCTAATACTCATATATGGAATAGTGGAATGCAAAGTGCTTTGGAAAATGGTTTCACAGTTTTTATAAAGTTATACATGTATGTATTTTATGACAAAGCAATTTTACCTCTGAATATTTGCCCAAATAAAGTGAAAACTACATTCACACAAAAACTCATGTAGATGTTTATAGTGGCTTTATTCATATTAATAAAAAATAAAACAACTCAGATATTGCTCAACTGGGAAATGGAGAAACATTTAAACATTCATCTACATAAGGAACAAACTGCTGCTACAGTGTTGATAAAAACAAGTGTATTGTGCTGTGTAAAAGATGCCAGACTCAAAAGCCTACATACTGTATGATTTTATTTATGTGAGATTCTGGAAGTTCGTTTAGTGTGGTGGGAGTAGACTTTTGGGTTGTAGGTGTTGATAGGGCATTCAGGTTCCTTGGAGTGCTCCATAGAGAGTTCTTGAATTGGAGGTAAGGTCCACAGTAGAGGAAATCAGCCTTGAGATAGGAGGAAAGATAGGGAACACAGGTAGGATGAGGAATGTTAGGTGTAGAAGAACAGAGTGTTAGGAAAGTTTTTTGACAGTACCTTGAATTAAATTGTATAGAAATTAGTCTCATCTGTTAAGAGTAAGAGAAAGGTTGAGAGCTGAAGTGTGTAGAACCAGTTTAGTACAGCTGGTATAACAAAGGCTAAAAGGGGATAAGTGAGTGTCCCTGAAGGCCAGCTGAGATTAAACACAGAATTGCAACTACGTGGTTTCCTGACTTTGTTTAGCCATGTTCCACATCCCCAAACATGGTGATGAAAGCAGAAGGAAGGGGTTTTTCTATGGATGGTTTGCATGACTGGCATGGCAGAAAGTTAAGGAGGTAAGTAGTTATTTCTGGAACAGGGAGGAGGATCATTTAATTGCCTGAGCCATGAAGTCCATGTCACGATAAGGAGCTTGTTAAGATACAGTAGTAAGTTACAGTGACTTTTGACTTGCCTTAACACTATTATATTTTCTTCATGAAGAAGTACCCTTAGAAAAAGAGACCCTCAGAAGAGTCTTCTCTTAAGAAGATAAAGAAGGTAGTGGAAACGAGCCTCCTGAGCTTTTCAGGCCATAAATGGCTGAAGAAACAAGAAAGCCTTCAGCCCCATCCTCACCAAACCAGACGCCTGAAGAGGATCTTGTAATCGTCAAGGTAGAGGAGGATCATGGTTGGGACCAGGAATCTAGTCTGCATGAAAATAACCCTCCTGGCCACGAACTGTTCCGCCTGCGCTTCAGGCAGTTATGCTATCAGGAGACACTAGGACCCCGAGAAGCTCTGATCCAACTACGGGCACTTTGCCATCAGTGGCTGAGGCCAGATTTGAACACCAAGGAGCAGATCCTGGAGCTGCTGGTGCTGGAGCAGTTCTTAACCATCCTACCTGAGGAGCTCCAGACTCTGGTTAAGGAACATCAGCTAGAGAACGGAGAGGAGGTGGTGACCCTATTAGAGGATTTGGAAAGGCAGATCGATATACTAGGACGACCAGTAAGTAGAAGGAGGTGTGCATGCTGTGACTGTGGGAGTCCTGGAAGCTCGGTTAGAGGGACATAGGCATGATAGTGGGAGAGCCAATGATTATCATCAGTTTCTGCTTGATAAGGATGAAAATAGTTTTAGTATAGTATGGTTTGTAAAGTTCTTTTTACTTCATAAAGGCTGTAAATTTTTTTTTTTCATCATAACACCGTACAAATGTATTGTTCCTGTTTGCCAGATGGGAACTTGATGCATAGGGAGCTTAAGTTACATTTTTGAGGGCACCCAAATAATTAAAGATAAATTCGAGAAATCGGGCTTTCTAGTTCCTTATTAAAGGATTTTTCTACTGCATAGCACTGGCTTTATGTTTGTTTGTTATTTTCCTCCATCCTCTGCTTTAGGAGCACAAAATATTGTTGTTCTGTGTAGCAGGGAAGGCATCAGCAGAAATCTTTTCCTTTAGTACTGAGCAAAAATGATGCCTTTCTTTCTGTGCTAGTCTGCATATTTGTGTTCCTTACTGTCTCTAAGAAGTAAGGGAGATTCTACTGCTTCCTTCCCCAAGCATATAACCATATAGAGGTGTTCTTGGTCCTCTTTCATTGTTCACTACATTTCTCAAAGGGATTCCTTATTATCCAAATGTCTGTTGTTTTTAGGTGTCAGCTCGTGTACGTGGACATAGGGTACTCTGGGAGGAGGTAGTACATTCAGAATCTGCACCAGAGCCTCCAAGTACTCAGCTCCAATCTGAGGCAACCCAGCATAAATCTCCAATGTCCCAAGGGTCACAAGAGAGAGGTGAGTAGCCAGATTTCATTGATGACAATTGGGGGAAGATGAAAGAAAAGTCCATTTGGGATACCTATCTAGTTCCTGAAGAACCAAGAACTGAAATCCTGTTTACAGACCACTCCCAATGTCTGTGTTTAAATGTTTAGGCTTCAAATATAGACTGTTCATCCTAGTGGCAAACTCATGAACAAATCAAAGAATTCGAGTATTTTTTATGTATTTACATATTTCTGTTACCCCAGTACATTTACAACATAGGCGTTTTTGATATTACAACATAGGCTGATATTGTCAAACCACTTTATTTGGAAATATTTCAGTATGTATTTCCTCTGACAAGAGCATTTCTTAGGTATCCTAAATAAATCATTTTGTAAATTTATCACAATTAAGAAATATAATATTGCTACAATACTAATAGTAGGTCACGGTTCATATTTTGTCAGTTGCCCCAATTATGTTCTTTCTGGTCCAGAATATAGTCTGGTATTGCACTTGGTGGTTAGTTGTCATGTCTCTTTAGTCTTCTTTAATTTGGAATAGTTCCTTGGCCTTTCTTTTTTTGAACAGTACAGTTGTGTTATGTTGTAGAATGGCTGCAATTTGGATTTGCGTGATGTTTGCTCATGTTTACAATGAGGTCGTATATTTTTGGCAGGAACACCTCACCCTGCCAAGGATACATGACATAAGTCTTAACAAGAGATGCCGTACCCCTTCTCAGGTGTACAACAGGAATTTGTCCTATTATTGGTGGTGTTATCTTTGATGACTTGGTTAAGGTTATTCTTGCCAGATTAATCATTGTGTAGTTACTGTTTTTCCCTTTGTAACTAATAAGTAACTTTTGGAAGATACCCTTGAGTGTATGTAAATATCTTAGTCCTCATTAAACTTGTGTTGCTAAAACACTAGTTTTAGTGTTCATTGGTGCTTCTCTACTGACTTAGTGATTACTAGAATGGTTATGAAATAGTGATTTCTTAACTCTGTCATTCCTTCTACATTTCTTTATTGTAAAGAAGAGTGTTCTCTTCTCCCAATTTTATGGCTTTTATTATCAATATGGACCCATAAATTCCTATTTATTCCATAAGTATTTTCTTACTGTCTTTATTTTGTTTTTGTTTGGTCTTTGAGACAGTCTCACTCTGTCATCCAGACTGGAGTGCAGTGGCACAATCTCAGCTCACTGCAGCCTCTGCCTCCTAGGTTCCAGCAATTCTTATGCCTTAGCCTCCCTAGTAGCTGGGTTTACAGGTGCATGCCACCACACCTGGCATTTTTGTATTTTAGTAGAAACGAAGTTGGCCAGGCTGGTCCCAAACTCCTAGCCTCAAGTGATCCTCCTGCCTCAGCCTCCCAAAGTGTTGGGATAACAGGCATGAGCCACTGTGCCTGGCCAATGTCTTTATTTTGATGCTAAATAATCTGAGATTTGGCCATAGAAGGCCCCTTCAGTCTGGTTCTTGTGTCCTCTTGACATTTTCCCATCATTTCTTAAATTTTTTTACTTTATTGCAGAATGAGATGTTCCAGTATCATCTTCCCCTGCATTTCATATGTTTTCATTTATATGATTTAGAGTAGTTTATATTTATGCATTTTTTATATTTCTAAAGAAACATTAAAACACTCTTAATAATTCTTGTCTGAAGTCCTGAAGCTTGTTGCCTGAGATATAGTAATCTATATTTTAATAATAAGCTGTTTGATATCTGAAGAAAGCAAATACTGGAAGCCATAGTAGACATTACAGAAAGGTAATGAATTAATAGAGATTAATTCTGATACTTAGTTTGCCAAGAGATCAGAACCTAAGGAAATACTGTATACAAGCACAAAGATAGAGGTAATTTTGGGCCGGGTGTGGTGGGTGGATCACTTGAGATCAGGAGTGAAGACCAGACTGGCTAACATGGTGAAACCCCATTTCTACTAAAAATACAAAAAATTAGTCAGGTGTGGTGGGGTGCATCTGTAATCCCAGCTGTTCGGGAGGCTGAGGCAGGGGAATCACTTGAACCTGGAAGGTGCAGGTTGCAGTGAGCCAAGATCATGCCGTTGCACTCCAGCTTGGGCAACAAGAGCAAAACTCTATCAAAAAAAAAAAAAAGAAAAAAGGTAGTAGTTTTGATGGTAGAGAAGAAACTGAAAGGCGATTCCTATTAGGAAACCAGTATACTTTCTGTTTTTTAGTAGAACTTCAGCCTGACTTCAGGGACATCAGCATGACTATGCTTTGTGGGACAACCATACATATAGGCTCAGAATCTAAGATATCAGTACTTCTTGTGCAAAATTTTTGGCACACATGTATAACTGCTGAAATACAAATAATTTGGAATAGGTGAGTGCCAGCCCCCACAACCACAGGACAGGGCTAGTCTCATTCATAGCTCCTTTCTCCTCTCAGCCATGTCTACTTCTCAGAGTCCTACTTCTTCCCAGAAAGGAAGTTCTGGAAACCAGGAGATGACAGCTACACTTCTCACAGCAGGATTCCAGGTGAGTTGTGCTCTTTGTCATTGAAACTCCATAGCTTGGCAGTGTTTGTGGCATCTGCCCAATATCTAGTCTGTCTAGTTTGTAGCAGTACCTACTTGTCTCAAAAATTCTTTTGCCTAGGGACAGATTGATCCTTGAATTTCCCCCAATAAATCTCATGCGTTTTCTTCTTCTTCCTGGCTATTCAGATCTCTTTACATAGTATATTCCCAAGTCTTAATCCTCTCCCAGTACTGATGGATCTCTCAAACTCTAGGTTTGAGCTGTGAAACAGTCCAGTCCCCAAATGGGGATCTTGTTTTGTTTCAGACTTTGGAGAAGATTGAAGATATGGCTGTGTCCCTTATTCGAGAGGAGTGGCTTCTTGATCCATCACAGAAGGATCTGAGTAGAGATAACAGGCCGGAAAATTTCAGAAACATGTTCTCCCTGGGTAAGGAGAGCTGTCATTATTATTGTCATTTTAGATTTTTTTGTTTTGTTTATTGTTTATGTGTATGGTAGCTACAACCTTTCTGAAAGGACATAGTTGAGTTTAAACTCAGGATCCAACAGAGGGTTATACCGTTGAGACTTCTTGAAGTTTTACATGAAACTTCTGTTCTCTTGTCCAGAACTTTCTTACATTTTGTACCTTGGTACTAGCATGTTTGCCATTGGGGAACTGACATCTCACAGATACTCTCTGAGTTCATACATTTCCACTCCAAGTTGTCATGGGACTCCTATGTAGATTTTTCTCACATAAATTAATTGTACGTTCTCCTTTTGATGACTATTTAGGGGCATTTGCCCATTTCTATCCTGCTAATTAGTTCCTTTAGTAGTTCCGTATTCCTTCTCACTCCCCAATTTCACCTCACCTCAGTTGATCCTTTCCTGACTTTAGTTCCCCTTCCAATAACTCTCTTTTTTTAATGGCACCTTTTTCCTAGTTGACTAGCTCATATTAAGCAAAGTCACTATTAAGAAGCCATTTTGGAGATAGAAGTTTTGTGTTTACTTTTAGGTGTTCCATGTGTACTTTCCTTTTCCCCTATCTTCAGTTTCTCCTAGCATAAAGAGTAAGAAGTGACAGTGGCTTGATATTTATTTTTTACATTTTAATTTCAGGTGGTGAGACCAGGAGTGAGAACAGGGAATTGGCTTCAAAACAGGTAATATCTACTGGAATCCAACCACATGGAGAGACAGCTGCCAAATGCAACGGGGATGTTATCGGGGGTCTTGAGCATGGAGAAGCCCGAGACCTTCTGGGCAGATTAGAGAGGCAGCGGGGAAATCCCACACAAGAGAGACGACACAAATGTGATGAATGTGGGAAAAGCTTTGCTCAGAGCTCGGGCCTTGTTCGCCACTGGAGAATCCACACTGGGGAGAAGCCCTATCAGTGTAATGTGTGTGGTAAAGCCTTCAGTTACAGGTCAGCCCTTCTTTCACATCAGGATATCCATAACAAAGTAAAACGCTATCACTGTAAGGAGTGTGGTAAAGCCTTCAGTCAGAACACAGGCCTGATTCTGCACCAGAGAATTCACACTGGGGAGAAGCCGTATCAGTGCAATCAGTGTGGGAAGGCTTTCAGTCAGAGTGCAGGCCTTATTCTGCACCAGAGAATCCACAGTGGGGAGAGACCCTATGAATGTAATGAGTGTGGGAAAGCTTTCAGTCATAGCTCACACCTCATTGGACATCAGAGAATCCACACTGGGGAGAAGCCCTATGAGTGTGATGAGTGTGGGAAAACCTTCAGGCGGAGTTCACATCTTATTGGTCATCAGAGGAGCCACACTGGGGAGAAACCCTACAAATGCAATGAGTGTGGGAGGGCCTTCAGTCAGAAGTCAGGCCTTATTGAACATCAGAGAATCCACACTGGAGAAAGACCCTATAAATGTAAAGAATGTGGGAAAGCTTTCAATGGGAACACTGGTCTCATTCAACACCTGAGAATTCACACAGGGGAGAAGCCCTACCAATGTAATGAGTGTGGGAAAGCCTTTATTCAGAGGTCAAGTCTCATTCGACATCAGAGAATTCACAGTGGTGAAAAATCTGAATCTGTAGGAGTTTAGGAACAGCTTCAGTTATAGTTTGAGCATTATTCAGCATTAGAGAAACCACACAGTGGTGAGAGGTCTTTCAGTGTACTAAAAGGCAGAAAGGTCATTGCAACTTTAGTGCCAGAATCTATAGTGGTGGCAAAGTTAGAATAGCTTTTTAGTAATTTGGGCCCAGTGCCTTCATGATTGATTAGCTTGACTGTCTTTGAAAGTATCTGATGGAGCTCCTGATGGTCTAATGTATCCTTTAGAAATTTAAAATAGCATTAGAGCAAGTTGCTTGTCATGGCTTGAGGCACTTAATTTTGTCTTTTGGGTGAGTAGCTATAGGATTGAGAGAGGCTGCTACTCCTAGTTCCTCTGCTTATTCCTATCTCCTGTGATCCCCCTCCCATTTATTCCCTTGAAGGTGCCCTTGTATTCCTAATCTGATCTAAGAAGCTGCTCTAGAGTCAGAAGTAGCTTCTGTATGAAACTTATATTTGTATGTAGCTTTCTAGAAAAATTTTTACAGACACTTAATGTATTTATGCTTAAGTGTGCATTTTTTTATTCTAAATTCCCTCTAGTCAGTGGGAATTTGTATTCCCATACAAACTCAGAATGCTATATTTTTTAACAGCACTCATTTTTCTTCATATATGACCTTCACTGACTCCATTGAGTCACTGACCATTCATACATATCCTTCACCACCCCCAGTCCCAGTACCTGTGTCAGCATCGGAAGTGGGCACACTAGTGACGGTTATGGGAGTTAATACAGAGAAAGAAGTGAGTGGAAACTCAGCCCAGATGTTCTTGAGCCTGAATAGTTACACACTTTGGTGACTTACGACTCTCCTTCCACCTCCCCACTGTACACTGTGGTACAAATAGATGTTTGCACTAACCTAGTTATGGCATCAGATAGGAGATGGAGACAGAGGTGCTTTAGGAAGACAAAACTCCTTATAAAGAATGTATACTCATCCTTTTTGGCCCATTACAGTACTGCTTTCTCAGGTTCTTATCAGCCTGTGCAAACTCCCTGACAAGATAGTCTGTCACTCCTGTCATTACCTTGTACCCACCTCTTTAGATGGCCTCAGCACCTCACTCATTATTCTCCATCTGTTTCTTGCCATTAGTTTATATGACTTTAATATCCACAGTGATAATCTAATACCTTACCTTACAGTTTTTCATTCTTTTGAAATCTGGTGCACTCCATCTGTAATCCATGTCTGTAATCTACCAACAAAGATATACTATTAAACTCACTATCATCAGGTACTATATTTCGTCTTTGAGGCTTTCACTATACCAAGGAATACTGTATAAAGTAATGAGGCTTGTTTAAAGTAACATGCCAGAACTTACGCATCCAGTGTGGGTTATCACTTATTATTCCCAAGTACTGTTATACCAATAGTACTACTATATGCTTCCAGATATTTGGAACACTCTTAGAATTCCCATTTAATAAACAATATGAGAAAACCCTCTGTTACACTTCATTTTAATCATTTGAGTAGCCAGTTATTTACCAGAGTTGGAATTGAGTAATTTTTGGCTTACCAAAATTTACCTTCAAACTTAAAATTGATTCCATTAAACCTATTCGGAAGAAAATTATATAGGTTTTGGTGAAAAGTTCATGATTTCACCCTGTGACTGTCCTGAAAAGGAATAACAGTTAATCATATAATTTTTTATTGATAGATCAAAAAAAGCAATCAAAATCTTTCCTCATAGAGGACCACCTTTTGAATCATAAATTCTTTCCCTATAACTTTCCTTCTCTGCCTCCCTAAAGCCTTGATCACCAACAACATCATAGTTAATCTACATCAATTTCATTAAGCAGTTGGTGAATGAAGGCACCCATCATTTGTCACATTGGTTTTCAACAGTCCTTTTCATTATCATTTATTTTCTTATCCTCCCTTCTTTTGTTTCTTACTTTGATTTATAAGTTGCCATTCCTAATTTCTTTGTACTTGAAATTTCAAGAAACCAAAAACAAGTAAATCTGGTTGTATCTAGACCTTCACTCTCTGTTTTCAGTTGTGCCTTACCCTTGGTAAGATACTGATTCTTCCTGGTGCCAGTACTACCTTGTAAGCAAATCCTAAGTATGATCGGTACATTGTCAGAAGGAAAATGTGTGTGTGTGCACATGTGTATGTACACACACACCTGCTGTACACTTTAGAGCAGGCGTCCCCAAACTTTTTACACAGGGGGCCAGTTCACTGTCCCTGAGACCGTTGGAGGGCCGCCACATACTGTGCTCCTCTCAGTGACCACCAATGAAAGAGGTGCCCCTTCCTGAAGTGCGGCAGGGGGCCGGATAAATGGCCTCAGGGGGCCGCATGCGGCCCATGGGCCATAGTTTGGGGACACCTGCTTTAGAGGAACAGTTCCCTTCTATTCCAATAAAAAGCCCTTTTAGCAAAGCAACATAATAACAAGATTGGGTGCATTCAGCGTGGTATGGCCATAGACCAGAGCAACATACTGAAATATGCACAGATGTACCAGCTAAAGTCTCTTTATGCATCAGTATTCAGAATAATGTATAGCCAGATTACTTAAACCTCAGAATTACTAAGCATCTGGCATAAATCAGAGAAAATAATATGACTAGAAAAATTAATGTTATAGTGGGGTATGTGAAAAGACTGTGTCTTGAAAGAATTATCAAAGCTGATACAGCACATACATAGAATTAGCCAAATAGTATAACACAATAGAAAAAAGCTGTGGATCCTTTGAGGACATCAGCAGAAGTCATTCTTTGTCTCAAGTTCACACTCTTAGCATAGAATATTGTTGACTAGGCCATATGACATTTTGAGCTCTTAAACTGTGAATGGCATGCATTAAGCCCCTTTATCCTACAGATTCTATCTTTATGCTCATCTGAAATGAATGGTTCATCAGTACTTTTTCCTCCTATCTTAAGCTTCTCATTTTAGGACCTAACATGATAAGGTGGTTCTTCCATACTCTTAATGCCATTCAGCATAGCCCTGGAAGAGGCATATTGGGTTTCAGAGATTTTGTCTATCGGGCAAGGTGCAGTACTGGAATGTGGTGGTTGATTCCCATACAGAGCAGTTAACTTCACTCTTGGTTCTGAGTCTCCAGATAATAAAAGCTGACATTTATTGAGCACTTAGTGTGTACCCAACCCTGTTATGCCTTTCTCAGGGTAATGATAGGTGTATTAGTCTGTTCCCATGCTGCTAATAAAGACATACCTGAGACTGGGTAATTTATAAAGGAAAGAGGTTTAATGGACTCACACTTCCACATGGCTGGGGAGGCCTCACAATCATGGCAGAATGCGAGGAGGAGCAAATCATGTCTTACATGGATTGCAGCAGGCAAAGAACTTGTGCAGGGGAACTAAACTTCTCTTTATAAAACCATCAAATCTCATGAGACGTATTATCACAAGAACAGCACAGGAAAGTTCCGCCCCCAAGATTCAGTTACCTCCCACTGGGTCCCTCCCATGACACATGGGAATTGTGGGAGCTACAATTCAAGAAGAGATTTGGATGGGGACCCAGCCAAACCATATCAGTAGGTATTATTTTATCCCCCGGTTTATAGATGAGGAAACGGAGGCTTAGACAGTTGAATGAGCTGATGGATGTCACACAGCCAGTAAGTGATACAACAGATTCTGACCCACAGGGTTTGGTTCTAGAGCCTGTGCTCCTGACTACTGTGCTATGCTGCCTATGATGAACATAGTAATTCTAGCCAGCTGTTTAAAAATATGTAGGCCTTGTTATGGGGGGTAGGGGGAAGAGAATATCGAGTAGAGTGCAAATATGTTACAATTACTGGAAAATTGGTTGAAAATGCCCTTTTGGGTTATAATTATATTATCTTTAAGTGTTGATGCTTTGTAGTACTACAGAGTTAAATTGTGCAAATAAAACATATTTAATAGAGTAACTGGGAGGATAAAGCAGTAATAAATTCAAATATATTTTTCTCTAAACTGCCTAAGGGAAAGTAGAATTGTGGAGGAAAATGAAATATCCATGTACCAGGCCAGGCAGATGGTCACTTAGAATGGCACTAGTCAATTCATCTACAGCATAAAATGTGAACTACTTTCAACCTCATTGCCCATTTCCAACTACCATTCTGTTTCTCCTCTATTGCTCTATCGGTCATGAGTTTTCAAACATGTCTTCCATTTCTCAATCCCCCTTTTTCTCAACCCCCACTTTACATTAATCTGTTCCTTAAACAACTTCTTACTGGCTTTTATACATGGCGTTCCAGTGAAATGTTCTTAGACTCACCTGTGGGCAAATAGTAAGGCCTTTCTTTTTTTTTTTTTTTTTAAGTTCTTGTCCTTTTTGATCTAATTTATATTTTATATTGTTGGATCATCCCTCCTTTGGCTTGTATGATCCTTTTTCTCCAATATCTGGCTTTTTTTTTTTAACTGATCTTTCCCATTCCCTCTTCTCCCCTTCTCCAGAGAATACTCTCCCTGTCTTACTTTTTTTATTCACTTCATCTTCGTTCTTTTCTTTTATTTCTTTCTTTTGAGATGGAGTCCCACCCTATTGCCCAGCCTGGAGTGCAGTGGTGCGATCTCTGCTCACTGCAACCTCCGCCTCCCGGGTTCAAGTGATTCTCCTTCCTCAGCCTCCCGAGTAGCTGGGATTACAGGCATGAACCACCACACCCAGCTAATTTTTGTATTTTTAGTGGAGACAGAGTTTTACCATGTTTGTCAGGCTGGTCTCAAACTCCTGATTCGCCCGCCTCAGCCTCCCAAAGTGCTGGGATTACAGGTGTGAGCCTCTATGCCTGGCTCACTTCATTATCTATACTCCTATTTATCCATTTTGATTGTTTTTTGTTTATACCTACTATTTGTATTCAAATGACTTCATTTTTCCCACTCTGTGGGTCAGTTTGTGACTTTTGGAATTTTCCACAGGTACCTATACAACTTGGTATTTGAAAACAGAATTCATTATCATATACACCAAACCCCCATTTTCTTTTTAAATAGGCCTCATTGCCTAATTCCTTTGTCCTGAAAAGTGTCACCACCCTTCATATTTTTACCCCAACCTTGGAGTTACCCTTTTCTACTCTCCATTCTCCCATGTCCAAAAACTTGCTGTCAGTCCAGTTTTTAATCAGTTTTGTCTTTGAGGCTTGATCTCGAATTTCTCTCATCTCTGTATAGCCTTTCATATAGATAAGAAGCCCAGGTTACTGTAATTCTTTTTTTCCAATTTCTTTGCTCTCAGGATCCCCATCTTGTATAAAGTTTACAAGGTAATCCTCCTGAAACTCCATTTTTACAATATCTAATTTTCACTAAGTAACACTCAGTAGATAATTCCTGTCAAGCAGTGGTGTTCCAAATTAGCCATTACCTCTGTGCTTATTAGTTGTCAGCCTTCATTACTGTTTAGCATATTCACCTTGATTCAACAGATTCATACTTCCTACGGCCTCTGCTGATGGCTTACCAGCTCTTGCCTCTGTGCCTTTCTCATGCTGTTATTTTTGCTTAGATTGCTCTTTGGTCCCAGCTATGTTCATCACTCCCTTCAAAGCCTGGCTATCTTTATATCTTCTGAGCGAGCTCTCCCTGATTGACATCACCTCATGTGGTGGCCTCCCTCATTCTGTGCTGCCTCAGCACTTACCTTTTGAGTTTGTACTGTCTCCACGCACTTACTAATATGTTGCTTTGTAATTATTTTCTAGCACTCTGTTACTGTTTCGTATTTGTATTTATTTCCAAAATTAAATTGTAAGCTCCTTGAGGGCAGGAAAAATTACTTTTATATTTGTATCTCTGCACCCCTTAATGCCTAGTATAGTGCTAAGCACATAGTAGGCGTTTAATAAATGCTTGTTGAAGTATTGTGTGGATTATTTGTGATGTAATCTACAGAAGTTTTTAAGCTGTTTTCAAGAATGTCTGTTACCACTTTGGGTGCTCAAAAATGTAACCTGTTTCCATATACTAGTATAGTATATCAGGATCTACCTGTACCTAAGAGTAAGGCCAAAAAAATTCAACTTTAGGAGAGTATGTGTGAAAAGCTGAAGCTCTCCATTTGGCTAGCCTTGTTACTCAAGAAAGAAAAGAAGCACTAAAGACTACTGGGTTAAGGTTATAATTCCAAAAGTGCTTGAGAATAGGTTTTGTGTATCAGATTAGTGGTTCTCTTTGGGAGAAATTTGGCGATGACTGGGGACATTTTTGGTCATACCATTGGTGGGCAGCTGGGATGCTACTGGCATCTAGTGGGTAGAGGCCGGGGATGCTGCTAAGCATCATGTTTGTGGAAGACACCCCCCACCCACCCTGCCCCACAACAAAGAATTATCTGGCCCAAAATCCTTAATGCTGAGGTTTCAAGACTCAATATATTTAAGGTAAATAGGAGAAAGAGATATGAAGTACTGACAATACAATTAGAAAAATTAGCTCTGCCTAGCTTTAAGAGAATCCTAAGTGTTTGCATATTTTGTGGTTTGTAAAACTATAAAATGAAAAGCCTTGGTGTTTGGTGTTCACAGCAACATATGTCAGAGTGTTGATAAACCGTAAAATTATTGATGATGTTTTAAGGTTGCTTTCAACATCAGATCTGCCATCATCCCTATGCCAAATGTTTCGGCATACAAGTGTTACAGAAGTAAAAATCTAGTTTTAGTCTTCCACACCTTAGTTCATTATAGCATCAAAGGCGAAACACTGGGGGCTATCTTTAGCAGAGGGGCTGTAACATGAAAGATTTAGCCTTGAGAACAGCATGACCCTCAGTTCCTTGGACAGCCACTAGGCTGGAATTACCAGCACTCCAAGGAAACCACAAGCCAGAATATTGTCAGTTTACCAAGTAAAACCATTCCAGTTTTACTCGTTTTTAAGATACTGTTTTAATCCTATTTTGGAAGGCAAATATGTAGGAGGAAATGTGATTTCCTAGATTAAATCGTTAAAAAGCAGGCCTTTAGAAGCACTAGCTTCCATCTGCATTTCAATGGCACTTTATTCAGCAGGTTTAAAAAGGTTCAACCCCTGGGTGCAGTGGCTCATGCTTGTAATCCCAGCACTTTGGTAGGATTGCTTAAGGCTATTCAAGAGCAGCCTGGGCTACAGCAAGACTGTCTCTACAAAAAAGTTCAAAAAATAAAATTAATCGGCTGTGGTGGCATGCGTCTGTAGTCCCAGCTACTCAAAAGGATACGGTGGGAGGATCTGTTGAGCGTGCAGTGAGCCATGATTGTGCGACTGTACTCCAGTGCCACTATGATTATGCCACTGGGCAACAGGTCTCAAAATAAGAAAAGTTCAGCCCAAGTTAGAAAATCAGTTTAAATGTGTAATACACTAAAGAAATAACTGCTTGCTCTGTCGTATTAAGTTATTCATCGTCTAGAACGCTAGGCTTAGTGTTGCAATCCATTAGTCTACAAATGGCTCAAAGAGGCTGCTTGGTTAGGTTTCCTGGGGCTTTGCCCATTTCTTTTCTCCCCTAGTTATGCCTTCAGGTGTGATCTTTGTATATTCTTAATTCATGCTCTGCCATAAGGTGGATTAAAACTTTGTGCCTCCACGTGTAATGTTTCATTTTAGGAATTATTCCTTTTATCTGCTTTATATCCAAACCATTATATTTACTGACCACGGTGTTTTGAGTTAGATTCTTTCATAAATAACTGAATAGCCAGAGTGATTTTGCAGTATCGCAGTCATGTTTTGAAATTATTGCTCTTGGGTGTGGTCCTTTCGCTTTGAGAAAGACACGATATAGTGTGTTGGCTTTTAGGTCACTAATAATTAAGACCAGAGTTGTGTGGCCCCGTGTGTTGGTTTAAGGAATCCTGTAGGGCCCGTACAAGATATTTCACCAGCGGCTCTAACTTTAAATTCCAAGATTCACGGGTGGTCCTGCCCTGGGTAAAACTCAGGAAGTAAAAGCAACCTTTGGGAGAGGTGAGATAAGAAGTCAGACCATTGCCCACCGCCTGGAGCAGACCGCTCCCAGCCTAGAGCCTGCCTGCACCGCCGCTGGCATAGGTGGAGGTTGCAACCCGTCTCCGGCAACCTCGAGCACAGCCAGGCTCTGCCCAGCTATTTCCGGCCGCGCCCCGGAAGTGCTGAGAGGGACTTCCGCCCGGCGACGAGGCCTCGGAGCTGGTTGCTGCTCACTGGCGGAGAAATACTGGTATGCATTTGGGTGCCGCTGGGGTGGGTGTTGCACAGCCGCAACCCATCAGACCTCCTCTCCGCTCCTCCCTGGGTAGAATGTGGGCAAGAACCCCAGGAGAGGCAGCCCCTCCTGGGACGGTGGGGATTGTACCCAAATGCCAGGAAAGGGTTTTTCTCAAGATTTAGTGCTGCGGGGGCTCAGAGCTGGGACTACTTCCCTTCCAGTTACAACCCTGGTCTTCATTGCCGTCCTCAGAGAGCTTCATTGAGTATCAACTTCGAGTGTGCTTCTGGTACCAGTTGGTATCACTGCCCGCCAGATCTTCAGCTCTCTTTTTCAACCAAAAGCGGGAGATTGCAAATAATTGGAAATAAAGTGTTCGATGCTCTAAATTCAGGAGAGGCTTCTTCCACCACTTAACTGTGCCCGTGACGTTTCCTTTTGTTTATTTTTTGAGACGGAGTTTCGCGCTCGCTGCCCAGTTTGGTAAGTGTAATGGTGCGATCTCAGTTCACTGTTCCAAACCTACGCCTCCTGGGTTCAAGTGGTTCTCCTGCTTCAGCCTCCTGAGCAGCTGGGATTACAGGCATGTGCCACCACGCCTGGCCAATTTTGTATTTTTAGTAGAGATGGGGTTTCTCCATGTTGGTCAGGCTGGTCTCGAACTCACGACCTCAGTTGATCCACCCGCCTTGACTTCCTAAACTGTTGGGATTACAGGCGTGAGCCACTGCGCGCCTGGCCGACATTTCCTTTTGAATGCAGAATTGTTTTCTCTCTGCTTCAGCTTGGCAATAAATGGCTACCCTTCCCTTTAGCAGTCACTTCCATCCACGCCAGGGCCACCTTACAGCACCTCAGTGCTGTTCTCCCATGAGCCCTTCCTCTACTCCAAGCAGTGTTCAAAGGCAATGGGGAAGATTACCATCGCAGACCTGCTGCCCTAGCATGTGATCTGAAAGCCCTTTGCAAATTAGCTCCTTATTTAACATTGCACTGCCCACCCCACCGCCCCCCAACCCTAAGTAGTTAGTGTAACAGCTATGGCAATCTTTGCTTTTTCTTTGAATAAAATAATGTTTCTTTTACAGAAGTGTTCCGGAAAACTCTTCAATTACAGGAAAAGGTGCATGACTGCATCTTCAGAGGAGTTGGTTTTGCTGGTACCAAGGATTCTGCTAATGAGAAAACTCCACAGTCCGGCATACCGTAAGCTGGCTCCAGCAGCCCAGTTGACCATGGCTGAGGCCAGTTCCCGATCATCCTGTCTGAGAAACACCAGGTCTGGGAGAGGGGAGCAGCACTGACCAAGGGGAGGGAGGATTTTCCTTGGTTAAGTGGCTAAGCTGGATGATTTCAAGGGATTGGGTGACTCCAGACAGCAGGTGGGGAGAGATAGTATTAAGTCACCTTAAAACTTTTAGTTTCTTAGGAATTCTTCTCTTTTTTTACACTGCTTTTTAACCATGTAAGTCAGAAACTGCACTACCGGTGATTTTGGCGACTTCATTTTATCTTTCTGCCTATATGTCATCTGTAAATGGGTATAATAAAAGCATCTGTCTAGAGTTGTTATGCGGATTACATGAACAGTACCTGCTAGATAGGAAATGCTATCTAGGTATTCGTTGTAATTATTTCTTACTCTCCTTACTTCCCTGGAATTGGCCTGTTCTGCTGATTTATTCCTTTCTACAGTGATTCTTTCATAAATTCATGTGTTTAATTTTTTCTGGCCCCAGCTCTTGCGTACAGTCAGGAAGTAGGCAAGAAATGCCAGCTCTGGAAGCAGAGGGAGAATAAGATAGTTATCCTCTAGTGCCACCAGGAATATACCACCAAAATGTCCGTGACAGACTCTTCCCTCTACAGGCAAGTTGTGCTAAACTTTGACATTGTGTGGTCTTCTGGGAAGTCTGGAAGTAAGGTACCTGAGGAGACTTTTTAAAAAACTGCTATATAACGGAATCAGAATAAGTGAGTTGTGAATGCTTAGCAGAGTCTAATTAAGTTCATAGTGAGGCTGGAATGGGAGAGAATCCAGCTCAGAGCTGCTATTTCCACGTTTTTTATTGTTCAGGAGCTTCATCTTGGCTGCCAGTTGTCAGAGATAGAAATTGTAAATATTTTTCCATTTTTTTGTCTTTGACTTTGCTGAAAGTACCTTTACTTGTTTTACCTCACAGGAGTTTGTATTCTGCCTATGTGGGTCAAGTTTATCAAATTTTTCATTAATGACCTCTGGATTTTGGCTCATAAGGAAGAAGGCCTTCTACTCTAAGCTTGTAAAGGACTCCTCTCATGTATTCCTCTGGTACGTTTATAGTTTCATTTATAACATTTAAAACTGATTTATTTGGAATATATCCTAGTTTATAAAGTAAGGTAGAAATCTAATTTAGTATCTTTCCAGATGGTTATCCAGTTCTCCCCATGCATTTGAAGAGTTCACTTTTTTTTTTAACTTATTTGCTACCTTTATCAATATGCTAAATTTATGCCTGATTGTGTCTATTTCTGGGCCTTCTATTCTGTACCATTTGTCTATCTTGAGCACCACACACTTTAAGTATTAAATCTTTATAATATGTTTAAAGTTCTTTAGGACAAGTGCCCTTCTTTCTCAGTTTCCACAGGTAGTCCTGCGTGTTTAGTCTTCTAGGTGAACATTAAAATCTAAAAAGTTGATATTTTCATGGAAATAGTGTTGAATTTACGAATTAATTTGGTGATTACTCTCTTGAGTGTTAACCCCTGAGGAGCCATAAAGTGGCTTAATCTGGGAAGCAAGCCCTAGATTGAAATTTCATCCTAGCTGTTTTAACAGGTGTCTGACCTCAGAAAATTTATTTGCTTCTCAGTTTTTATATATATGAGAGGAGGACTTTAATGTCTGCCCTGTAGGATTAAGTGAGACAAAAAGCATAAAACGCCTTTTTGGGAGTAAGCACTTTCTTCACACCTTCTATTCTGGTCAACTCACAAACCACTGAGAGGGAAGCCTCCAGGATCCTAGAGTGGATGACCAGATGCCCAGACACAGGATATGCAGAAGTCAAAGTCAACCCTTCTAGGCCAACAGCTGTCCTATCACTTAGTTAGTCTAATCGCAGTTTTCCAGGTGAGTTCCTCTTGACTTTCTTCTAGGGTTTTGCGTGTGCCCTGGGGTGAACACCCTCGGACAGTGGGGAAAACTGTACTGTGCCAGGTTGCCTCAGGCCTACCTTTTCCCTCCATCCTTCCCCACCCCTCCCTTCTTCCACCCACTTTCACACTCCTCCCCCTTTCCCCTCCTCCCTTTTCCTCCCTCCCCATCAACCTGCCTCTTCTTTCTCTTTCCCTTCCCTATCCCATCCTTGCCTGGCCCTTCTGCACTGGCAGTGGACCCTCAGAAGCCCTGGGAGAGAAGATAGCTGTGGGAGACTGATGTCTTGAGTCCTGTCCCTGGCTTTCTCTGAGGCTTGTAAGACTTCTAATTACAGGAGTGACTCCAACTAGCTTTTCAGACAGGGCTAAATTTGCAAGGGTGGGGTGCAGGAATAGAGGCCTTATTTTCTCTTGGTCCTGGATCCTCAGTTCTGCTTTGCATTGGTTTTTATTGTTGATGCTGTTGTTGTTAGTGTGTTTTGTAGAATGTCACTCAATTGGGATTTAACTGTTTTTGTCATTATTATACTGAGGTTATAGGTTCTGGGGAGGAAAACCACAAAGGCAAAATGCCATTCTCGTCATATAAAAGGTGCATATTGTCAACTTACAACTGTCGAGACATAAAACAATTTGTAAGACGGAAAAAGAGAGGGATAATTAGTGTAATTTGAGTTTGGAGCAAAAATTTTATCAAGTTTGGACACAAAACTAGGTTTGTGCCCAAGAAAGTAGCAGCCATCCCTTTTGTTTGGAGAGGTGAGGGTTTATTCTTTCACAGTTCCAGCAGAGACAAAGCATCCCTGTTGCTGAGATAGTGTTTATCATAGCAATAGCAACTGCAGAGAGAGTAGTAGCATAGTAGCATAGCAATGAGCAGAGCTTTTTTGGTCCCCATGTCTCTCATCCCAAGTGTTATGGACTCTGTGGGTGGTAAAACATACCTGTTAATGGTGTTACTCGCATTTTCCCAAATTTCTTATCAGTTGAAATTTTGTTTCTGTTGCCATCTCTTTTCCCGTACTCCTTCAACTGCTCTGTCTGCAAATCTCTTCCATTTCTGTCTTGTTTTCCTAGTTAAATATGATTCGCCCTTAAAAGTAGGAACTATATATTATTTTTATATTCATGTATATTCCAGATTATGTGTTTTAGGTGCCTTTATAGAGGATATTTTATTTATTTATTTATTTATTTACTTATCTATATTTTTTGAGACGTGCCCTTGTTCTGTTGCCCAGGCTAGAGTGCAGTAGCATGATCATAGCTCACTGCAGCCTCAGTGTCCCTGACTCAAGCAATCCCGCCTTTGCCTCCCAAGTAGCTGGGATGATAGGCGTGTGCCCTGAAGATATATTTAAATAGCCATTTGAGGCAGGTATTCATTCCAACAATTCTTTGATGTTGTTGAGACATGATATAGGTTGAATGAAAACATTTTATCTGAGTGCCATATGACTGCTGTGTCCTGGGATTATTGAATGTGTTTGAGAGCTCTAATCTGTATCATATTATGTTGCTTTAGTAACAGGGAATAAAGCACATTTCAAAGGTCTGTTTATTATTTTAGGAATCAAGGTCAGAGGTGTGAACAAGGTGTCAAGTATAAAGCGAAGATTTTTCTAAGGATGGACCCACACCAGAAGGTCCCTAGCATATATAATGGGAACACTTTACAGACTCCTGGGTATGAAAAAGTCTCTAAGTATAAGGACGAGTTAGAAAGGCACGAGGGAAGGCGCATGGAAGAAAGACGGTATAAATGCAGTGAATGTGGAAAGAAGTTTGCCCAGAGCTCGGGGCTTGTTCGACATCAGAGAATCCACACTGGAGAGAAACCCTATGAGTGTGATCACTGTGGAAAAGCCTTTAGCGTGCGCTCAACCCTCACTGTGCATGAAAGAATTCACACTGGTGAGAAGCCTTATTCCTGTAATGAGTGTAAGAAAGCCTTCAGTGTAAGGGCACACCTGATTATACATCAGAGAATCCACAATGGAGAGAAACCCTATGAATGCAATGAGTGTGGCAAAGCATTTAGTGTGAGCTCAGACCTTATCAAACATCAGAGAATCCATACTGGTGAGAAACCTTATGAGTGTGATGAGTGTGGAAAAGCTTTCAGTGTGAGCTCAGCCCTCATCAAGCATCAGAGAATCCACACAGGAGAAAAGCCGTATGAGTGTAAGGAATGTGGAAAGGCCTTCTATGTGAACTCAGCACTTATTAATCACCAGAGGATTCACTCTGGAGAAAAGCCCTATGAGTGTGGAGAGTGTGGAAAAGCATTCAGCCAGATCTCAACCCTTATTCATCACCAGAGAATCCATACTGGAGAGAAACCATATGAGTGTGAAGAGTGTGGGAAAGCTTTCCGTGGGAGTTCTAATCTTACTAAACACCAGAAAATACATGCCAAAGGAAAGTGTCATCAGTGATTATGTGGGAAGTATATTCCAAAAGGCTTTTGTTACATCAGAAGATACCATCAAAAGAAGAGTATAATAAAAGTTAATGCCTTAAATGACACTTCACCCTTGAAATATTGAAGTGAAAAATCGCTGAAAAGCAGCTCCATCAGCATTGTGGCTCAGGCTCTAAAATCACATCTACTTCTGAAAATGTAATTTTACAACTCATAAGGTAAAGCCATTTAAAAACCATATGGTATAATGTAGTTTGAGCATTATAGAGCAAACCAACAATTCAAGCATTTTTCTCTTGTGAGGAAGCCTTTTGTTGTTGTTTTATTGCTATTGATGTTACGGATAAAACATTAAATTTTGAAATTGGAAGCAATGTTAGTTGGTGAAAGAGGAAGGACATAGTTGAATCTGGAAAATAACAACCCATTGATCTTTCTTTGCCTTTGATGTACCACTCTGCTCTTAGGATGATTAGATGTGCTTGTGACCTCTTGGCAGAAGATAGAGTATCTCTTTAGGTTGGAATCCTTATAGATAATTTTTTTTTTTTTTTTTTTTTTTGAGACGGAGTTTCGCCCTTGTTACCCAGGCTGGAGTGCAATGGCGCGATCTCGGCTCACCGCAACCTCCGCCTCCTGGGTTCAGGCAATTCTCCTGCCTCAGCCTCCGGAGTAGCTGGGATTACAGGCACGTGCCACCATGCCCAGCTAATTTTTTGCACTTTTAGTAGAGACGGGGTTTCACCATGTTGACCAGGATGGTCTCGATCTCTCGACCTCGTGATCCACCCGCCTCGGCCTCCCAAAGTGCTGGGATTACAGGCTTGATATAGATAATTTTTTAAGGTGATTCTTACATAGTCAGAAAGCTTCAATCTTGACTTACTGACTCAATAAGACTTTGAATTTGACTGAGGTTCCTCAACCAATGCAAACAAAACAAAGACAAGAACTTTCCAAGGAGGTTTAAGTGTTTCTGACTTCTGACCCTTGTTCATAGCTGATCATAGCTCACTACTGTGTGCAGTGTCATATATGCAAAGGCTCTGAGGTATAAGAATGGGACACCTGGGGAATTGTTTAAGTCGGTGTTGGTTTTAGGATGACTATGTGAAGCTTGATACCTGATGCAACCAAGAGAGCTCAGATTTGATAGGTGTTGTTTGATTTTGAAAATGTTTTTGCTGTATGTGGGAATCCTACTGCAGCTGTCCACCAGACCATAATCTGACTTCTTAACCCTAATCCCCAAAGCCTATATTTGCACATGTACTTTGTTACTATTTTTTTTTTTCCTTTTGAGACAGGGTCTTGCTCTGTCACCCAGGCTGGAGTACAGTAGTCTGATCCCACCTCACTGCCACCTCAGCTTCCCGGGCTCAAGTGATCCTCTCATCTCAACCTCCCAAATAGCTAGTTCTACAGATGTGCACCACCATGTCTGCTAATTTTTTAGTTTTTGTAGAGACAGAGTCTTACCATGTTACCCAGACTGGTCTCCACCTTCCCTGTTCAAATGATCCTCCCATCTTATCCTCCCTAAGTGCAGGAACTACAGGCATGAGGCCACGGTTTAGGCAACTTTTCTATTTTAACAGTAATTTCTCCCTCCTGAGTGATAGTCCTGACATTTTTTATTCCTAAACTTTAATTCATGTGAGGTTCAAGATGAATATGCCAAATCAGTGGAAAATGCAGATTGCTTTGATGGTTCACATTTGGAATAAATGGTAGAGAGCACTATCTGGGAAGGTAAAATGGTGTTCACTTCTCAGAAAGAGACTCTGTGTTCAAAGGGATGCCCAGTTTCCATGAATTATCCTGGTCAGCACTTCAGGCAGGTCAGCTGTAAAACACACTGGACTTCATGAAGCTCTGAGCCAACTTGTGGCCAGTAGGCACTAAGGTCAGAGATGCATGTGAAAGAGCACATGATGAAGCCTCTGCTATTGGAGTAGTGGCTGCCACCCTGCACAAGGCCTGGACATGGGGATTGAAGGCAAAGAAGATCATGGTTCTGGAGCTCAGGTTGAGGAAATGGACCTCACTCAGGGAATGCGGTGCATTAAAGAACGTGAAACACATACTGTACTTACAGCAGAAGTGAAGGGCTTCAGGGAGTTCTCTTTGTTGTGCTAAGTTCATGTGTGAATTCCTTTGCCTTCTTCCTGTCTTTGGCAATTGAAGGAGACTAGTTTTTCCTTGATTTGACCTGTAACCCATTTCTGTGCTGTTATCTTCAATGTTTTTAGTGTTTACCTTTCTCACCCCAGCTGTCTTGGTTTATTTCTAGAATGGAGGTTTACACACAGAGTCATCTGGCTGGAGGACACCCTTCTGGAGTCAGTACTGAAATGAATGCCATATCCTACTCCAAACCAGCACGACTGTAAATACTAAGCAGTAAGTGTTATTCTGAAGACTTTGAAGGAGCAGCTATTTCTGAAAATAAATGTATTTTGTTGAGGAATTTAACCATTAAGGGATCAGGATATGTGTACTGTGGTTATTTCTTTCGAGCCCAAAGTAAGGTACTAGTGATTATTTGTTTTAGGTTGGGGGTTGTGCCAGGTGCTAGGAATACAAAAATCAGTGAAAAAAGCACCCTAATTTCAGGGGGCTTGCAGTCTATTTGGTGACAGGGAGAAGGGAGTAGATAGAAAACAACAAATACTGTAATAAAACCACTGAATTTGTAGAGTACTTTGCACTGAAGAAGATTTAACAGCGACTTACAAAAACAATTGAAAAGGTTTTGGAGGAGGACGAAAGCTTGGAGGGAAAAATGAGTTCTTGAGCCACAAAGTAAGAAGGAGGGAAGGCACAGTGGGAATAGCATATGAAACAGCATAGTGCCTCTGGGGGGAAGGAAGGAAGTTTTCAAGGACGTTGATTATGTTTCAAGGATCATGGAATGTACGTATGAAAGTAATATACTGTAACTAGACCATGATATTCTTTGTTCTCCTAAAAAGCATGAAACATATTCTCTAGGCCAGTGTTTTTGTGCAGTAAGAAACGCATTTTATGTTGTGAACTCAGCGTACTGTTTTTGGGAGAGGCCATCCTTCTTGGGCCTTGCACTCCTACATGCCTTGCTGAGTGTGCCACCATTGCAAGGGCATGGCAGCTCTTTTACTCAGGGCACTTTTTATTGTTATTCAGCTAGTAACCTTGGAAGATGAGGTGACGTCTCTTGGAACAAGAGTAGGTTACCTTGCTTGCTTACTTAATTCTTATTACAGAATACTGTTTGGTATTCTTTTGGAAAGTTCCTCTTCAATTCTCCTACATGTTTATAGGAATTATTTACAGGTATTGATCGACTTACGACCTATGCAACTTAATGATCATTCGACTTTACGACCACAATCGCTAGCCATGACTGCTCCACGTCTGGCAGCACAAACGTTGCCCAGCTGGGCATACGACAGTGCGGACCAGCTTCTGGCAGCACTACCATCTCCACGTGCACCATTTCAACTGTACATAGAGCCCACTCAACTTACCACCAAATCAAGTTACTACCGTTCCGGGGGCGCGACCGTGGTCGTAAGTCGAGCACTAGCTGTATATATCCTGGATATGAGCTGCAAATATTATCTCCATCTCTATAGCTTGCCTTTTATTATCTTAATGATGTCTTTTGATGAATATAAGTTTTTAATTCTAATATAGCCCAGTTTATCAGTCTTTCTCTTTCTCACATGTCTTGTTTTGTGTCTTTTGAAGAATTCTTTCTCTGCCTTAAGATCATGAAGATAATCTCTACCATTTAAAAAACTTTTCTAATTTGCTTTCTCATTTTTATCTGTAATCCATTTGAAGTTTATTTTTCTGCCTGAGTGAAGTAAAGTCTAATTTCATTCTTTTCCCATATAGATATTCTTTTCATCCTTAATCACTTATAGAAACTGCCTATCATTTACCACTGTTCTTAATTAATGCCAATTTGTCATTAATTAATTTTCCAAAAATGCATGGATCTGTTTCTGGTTTCTCTGTTATGTTCCATTGCTTTATTTGGCTATCCCTGCATCAATACCAGATTTTCCTAATGAGTATAGCTTTGCATTGTTCTGGTATATAGTAGAACAAAACATCCCACCTGAAGAGTCAGACTCCAGGCCAGGTTTCTACGTGTCATTTTTCAGGCCCAACCATAGGGAGTTACAAAGGCCTTATGCCTCATGAAGGAAAGTTACCCTGCTCATGCCAGATTTGGAGCACAGCCAGTACATTGCATGGATTCAACCAACTGTGTGTTGTCATTATTCAAAAATAAATAAATAAGTAATCTTGATCCTGATCTTTAGAACCTTCCTTGTCTGGCCGGGCGCGGTGGCTCAAGCCTGTAATCCCAGCACTTTGGGAGGCCGAGGCGGGTGGATCACGAGGTCGAGAGATCGAGACCATCCTGGTCAACATGGTGAAACCCCGTCTCTACTAAAAATACAAAAAAAAACTAGCTGGGCGTGGTGGCGCATGCCTGTAATCCCAGCTACTTAGGAGGCTGAGGCAGGAGAATTGCCTGAGCCCAGGAGGCAGAGGTTGCGGTGAGCCGAGATCGCGCCATTGCACTCCAGCCTGGGCAACAAGAGTGAAACTCCGTCTCAAAAAAAAAAAAAAAAGAACCTTCCTTGCCTGAAAATTTAACATTTCCACACTACCTATGTGTGAGCCAGCCAGCACTAGCTGAGAAGAGTTTCACATTTTCTTGACCCTGTTCAATCTGCATAAAAACAAGACTTTAGAACAGGTCTTACTTGGTGGTTGCACAGTTCAATAAAACAGTTTAGGTTGAGCTCCATTGATATCTGATTTCTAAAATAATAAAACATTTTTAAAATATAGTATAACAACTATTTATACAGCATTTGCATTATATTAGGTATGATCAGTAACCTTGAGATGATTTTAAAGTATATAGGAGGATGTGTGTAGTTATCAGCAAATACTATGCCATTTTATATGAAGGACGTATGCATGCTGAGGTGTCCTGGAACCAGTCCCCAACAGATACTGAGGAAAGACTATATATAGTCAGTTCTCATTACTTATAGTTAGTTGGATCCTATGTTTGCCACAAACACCGAATTAATAAGTACTAAACTGTTGTTTCTAGAGGAGATGCGGGGTTAAACTTCTGTGAGCCTTTAGTCACAACATTTTCATTAGTTCATATGTCATTTGCATTGTAACCATTTGTTTGCCAGCATTGTAAAACAAACCAGTCTATCTCATCAGGGTTTGAAAGCAGATCTTTGTGTATACCATGTAACTCTTGTGGCTGGCTTATTTCTTTCAACATTGTGAGATGTATCCATGTTATTGAATATAGTTATAGTTCATTCTCCTATGAAATTTCTAACTTAGTGAAGCATTTCTACATGAGGCTAAGAGAGTATGTTCAGGGATTTGCTTTATATAATCTTGCTTTTGATAATCAAAAGGGTTAGACTTAAAGAATCTGAATGGAAAGTTAAATGATCATCAAGTAGTATCTCTCAGATTTCACACACATTAAGCAAATATTGACTTAAGATTCATGATTGAATTCTGTGAAAAGCATCTGTGATCACATTCTTTATAGCTACCTCAGATTCTTTTTGTGATGATTTAGGGGATGAATGCATGAATAGATAGCTAAACTTTACTCTTACCCAGATAGAAAGCCAACCCACTTCAGCAGAGCATGAGTAATAGAGGAATTTCTAAGTAAACACAATTTATTCCTCAGGAAAAAACTTTGGATCTTCTACATCACAGTTTGGGTGCTTAGTTGAGATCCCAAACTTTTTTATCAAAAAGCTGGAAAGCTTCAGCCTGGAAGATGTTTAGAACAAGTCGCACTTAGTGGCTGCACAGTTCACTAAAACATTTTAGGTTGAGCTCTATTGACGTCTGATTTCTAAACAAACATATTTCCATTACTATAACTACTTCCAATCTTTCCCTTCTTTGACCTCCCTTAGCACACTGTTTCTTTCTTAGAGGATTTATCTTCTATTTTGGTTTTTTTTTTTTTTTTTTTTTGAGCCAGTGTCTCATTCTGTTGCTCAGCCTGGGATACAGTAGCGCGATGTCAACTCAAGGCAACTTCCATTTCCCAGGTTTAAGCAATTCTCATGCCTCAGCCTCCTGAATAGCTTGGCCTACAGGCATGCACCACCATGCCCAGCTAATTTTTGTACTTTTAACAGAGATGGCATTTCACTGGGTTGCCCAGGCTAGTCTTGAACTCCTGAGCTCAGGTGATCTGCCTGCCATGGCCTGCCAAAGTGCTAGGATTACAGGCTTGAGCCACGCACCTGGATCTGTTTTACTTTGTATCTGTCTCTAGTCCTGCTCCTTTGTGAGTTCTTTGACTACAGGATTATTATTATTATTCTTTATGGATTCTTTGCAGCCCTGCATATGGTGAGATAGCTTGAGATTGCACAAGTCATCTTGGGCTAATTATGATCAGTTAATTTTTTATTATGTAACCAACAACATTCCATATCTCAGTGGCTTGCAGTAACATAGCTTTATGCTTATCACACATCAGTTATGGGTCACTTGCTATTGTACGATACATTCTCTGTATTCTAGGATCCAGGCTAGAGGAGAGTACTACCTTGAATGTGCTGCTCTCATGACAATAGAAAAAAAAACAATTGTGGAATTATGTGATGGATTTAAATTAGCTACTCAGGAGGAGCATATGTCACTTCCACTTCATTAGCTAAAACAAGTAAAATTACCAAGCCTAGTATCTATGGGATGGGGAAAATAATCCTTACAAAGAAGGCAGTGTGTAATTAAGAACAATAACATAGTCTATTATTGAAATAGTGTATATACTCTGAAAGCCAATATTTATGGAATGCTTTCTATACCAGGCCTTTTCTTGAATATCTTTTATGTATATTTTACTCAATGAACAACAATGTTATGAGACAGATACTTCTGTATTCTCATTTTACAGCTGAAGAAGTTGAGGAACAGAGACATTGAATAACTTGTCCAAGATCACGCAGTTAGGAAATGGTAGAGCCAGGAATTGAAACCAGAAGTCTGACTTCACAACCTTTCTCTTAACCACAGTGCTGTATTATGAGAATTTTAATCTGAAGGTTTATGTTCATGTACCATGCTGGGCTTTAAAGAGTTATGAAGTGTGCTAGTAAAAACTCTGAAAGTGAGATTCAGGAGCCCTTGGTCTCATCCTGTCTTTACCTCTGAGTAGCCATATTACCTAGAATCATGCCCCCTCCCTGGGCCTCACTTTCTGTATCCTTACAAATAAGGTAAACAGACCAGATATTCTCTGATACCCCTTCAGCTTAGAATTTTTTATTCTTTCTCCAAGTGCATAGTCAAATACTTTGTTGATGTGATGACCTCTTTCATCTTCTGCTTTCTATGTTATGATCTTCATAGTAGATCTTGTATCAGTATTGAATCTCCCCAATCCTCTTCCATTTTACTTCTCCTGTTTTACTTTAATGACACTACTATTACTACTACTTTCTATCATTTATTGAGACCTACTGTTTTAGAACAGGAAAATAAACCCAAAGAAAACTGAACGAAGAAAGTACTAAAAATAAGAGCAGAATTGGGAGGCCGAGGCGGGTGGATCACAAGGTCAAGAGATCGAGACCATCCTGGTCAACATGGTGAAACCCCATCTCTACTAAAAATACAAAAAACTAGCTGGGCGTGGTGGCGTGTGCCTGTAATCCCAGCTACTCAGGAGGCTGAGGCAGGAGAATTGCCTGAACCCAGGAGGCGGAGGTTGTGGTGAGCCGAGATCGTGCCGTTGCACTCCAGCCTGGGTAACAAAAGCGAAACTCCATCTCAAAAAAAAAAAAAAAAAAAGCAGAAATTAATGAAAAAGCAAACATAGATCCTTACTTAGAGCCTTCATATATAAAGAGTGTGTTTTAGGTAGGTTCTCTCTGAAGGCTGCTCATAAATATTACATCAGAATTCCCTTCTGTCTCCAGGGAAAAGGTGCTAAATGCATAATCAACTTGTTCTTTCAGATAGTGACTCCTGACCTTAAACAGAGAGTCTGTTTCAAAGCAGAGTTTTCCAGAAGAAATCCAACACAGAGTGATGTGCAGGGGACTAAATAGAAACATTTTTCAGGGACCCAACACTGAACAAGTTCATGGGCTTGTTAATAGTTTACCCGAGTGAGGGGACATCCCCTTGGAAAAAGCACAACAGACAATGCCTGAAGCTGAGGAGAATATCACTGATAAACGGAACCTGAGACACCTGGGAGAATTTGCTCTGAAATTCAGTCCTGCCAGTGCTCTGAGAGTGGGAAACCGTCCATTCAGTTTGCACATGATTTTCAACTTCAGCAACTGTAATAAAAGAAGCAGCTTCTCAATGTAAAGTTAGTGGAAAAGTCATTGTTATGAAAATATCCCTCCCTATTTAAAAAAGCCTTAACACACCAGCAGCCCTGACTTAAACACCAGCATGTCCAAACTGGAATGTGTATCCTCAACATGGAAAGACCTTCAGTGTAAACCCAAGTCCCATGAAACAACAGATAAGCCATCCTGGAGAGTACTTGCATGAGAGTAAAGACTGTGGCAAAAATCTTCAGATATTGCATCTTGTCAGACATCAGAGAAGTCTTGTGGATATCTTCAGTGTCAAAGGCCTTCTGTGTGAGCTCAGTATTATTGAACATAAATAAATTCATTTTGGACAAGAGCCTTATCTATATTTGTGGGTGTAGCAAAGTCTCAAAGTGCTGTGACAGCCTTATTAAACATCAGAGAATCTGTAAAAAGGTTCATTGTGGTTCAGCTCTGGTCACCCACCAGAGAATCCACACCAGAGAGCAGCACCATTATGAATGTAGTGTGTGAGGGAAGGCCTTTATTTGGAAGCTAGCACTTATCAATCATCAGAGTACCCATGCTGGAGAGAAAATTTATAAATGTAAAAATGTAGGAAGGCCTTCACCAAAAGCTCAGTCTTATGCATCAGAAAATCCACACTGCAACAAAACTGTATACATACGACCACCATGTTGTTAGCTCATTACTTAAAGGGCATCAGGATTCCCATATGGGGAAAAGCTCTTCGTAAATTATATGGGAAAACCTTCAGTCAAAGTTCAGATCTTATCCAGCATCAGAGTCCTCACTAGATAGAAGCCTTATGACTTGGACAAATGTAAGAAACATTTTTATAAACCCATCCTTTACTAAGCAACAGAGGATACACAACAAAAATGAACCTCAGTGATCAAATATGTGGTAAAGAGATAGAGGAATTTTTCATCATCACTTGTTATGATTAAATAGGAGTGGTAACAATGAAAATTTAAAAAAAAAAAGACAATGCATATAATCACTTTAACTGGCATTATTTTATGGAATTAAAGACATATTACTAGAAAAAGATTGTCATGTCACTTCATGGGCCAAGTTGAGGAATTAAACTTGTGTGACCAGTCTCTGTGGATATTTAACTGTCTTTGATACTGTTAACTTTTTATTTTCTGTAGTAAAGGTAAGTCTTTATAACCAATCACATAACTATAGCGTAAATAATCCAAACACTATTGACTATATTGTTGTTTGTTTGGAATTCATAATACTCATTACAATTTTTCTAAGAATGATTTTGACATTTATTCCTGAGACCCAATAAGTGTATCACTTCTTCCAGACTTAATCCCTTTTATTTTTTATGATGTTAGTCTCAGAAATGATGCAAATAAATGTGTGTTTTGGCAAATCATTTCCCAAAATTTCCTATTCCTTTGTTTTTAAAAAAATGATGTAGAAATGTGAATAGTCTGTGTGAACCTGCAATATTCTGAGCAACAGACCTTGTTGCTCCCGTTCATGTTTGTGTCTCTAATATACAAAATAATGACTGATACAGAAAAAGCCCTTAAAACATGCTTGTTGAATGACTGCTCCAAGGGTTCTGTTTGTGGGTTGGCTCAATCCAGCTTACAGAGGGGCCTCTAATTAAGTTTGCCATAGGATTCTACCCTCTTCCCAGACCTGATCAATGAATAACTTCGGGTGCTCAGTGTAGACTGATTATGAACTCACTGCATTGCACATCGTAATCTTTGGTCTGTGTGGCCTTGCTTTCATTCTTACACACTTTTTCTCCATTCCTTTCATCCCAATCCTATTTCTCCCATCCTTAAATACTTGATTTGCAAAACTGGTCTTGTGTTAATATGTATCATTCTATGCCATTCTACTTTTTGAGATTTATTCGTGTTGCTATATGAAGGTCTAGTTCACCCCTTTAACTGCTGTACAGTGACTGGATGTATTGATTCATTCCTTTAATGAAGATCATTTTAAACAACTCTTTATAATAAAACAGTCTTGCTCTGAACACTGTTGGGAGTGTTTTTCTGAGGAACATACCAAGGAGCCAATTGCTGGGTCACAAGTATGTACAGTGTCAGTATCACTGGAATGTAATGATTTCTGTTCTTTGTGAACTAAGAGACTGTCCAGAGTCTTAGCCTTATCATGATAGCCCCTATTCTGCAGGGACTTCTGAGAGCAACTGTCACTTAACAAATTTATGATACAGTCCTGGGAATTAGAAGTGCAAAATGCGTACTACTGGGCCAAAATATATATATATATATATATATATATATATATATATATATATATTTTTTTTTTTTTTTTTTTTTTTTTTTTTTTTCAGAGCAGAACTTGTAAAATCAAGATGTCAGCAGAGATGCGTTCATTTAGGGGACTTAATGGGGAGAGTCTGTTTTATTGTCTTTTCCAGGTTCCAGAGGTTTTTCACGTCCCTTGGCCCTATTTCTCCATCTTTAAAGCCAACACTGAGTTGAAGCCAGGAGTTTGAGACAAGCTTGGCCAACATGGTGTAACCCCGTCTCTGCTAAAAATACAAAGATTAGGCAGACGTGGTGGTGCATGCCTGTAATCCCAGCTACTCAGGAGGCTGAGGCATGATAATCAGTTGAATCCAGAAGGTGGAGGCTGCAGTGAGCTGAGATTGTACCACTGCACTCCAGCTTGGGTGACAGTGAGACTCTGTCTCAAAAAGGAAGGGAGAGAGGGAGGGAGGAATTTAGCTCCCTGCAAGATGCTATACAAGATGAGCATCCCTAAGACACATCAAGCTCGAAGTGAAAGAAAAACTTTAAAGCCAGCTAGAGAAAAGGGTCATGTCACAAAGGGAATCCCATCAGGCTAACAGCAGACTTCCCAGCAGAAACATTACAAGCCAGGACAGATTCAGGGCCTATTTTCAGTATCCTTAAAGAAAAATTCCAGCTGGGCGCGGTGGCTCACTTCTGTAATCCCAGCACTTTGGGAGACTGAGGTGGACAGTTCACTTGGGTCAGGAGTTCAAGAGCAGCCTGGCCAACATGGTGAAATACTGTCTCTACTAAAAGTACAAAAATTAGCCAGGCATGGTGGCAGACGCCTGTGATCCCAGCTACTCTGGAGGCTGATGCAGGAGAATCACTTGAACCCTGGAGGTGAAGGTTGCAGTGAACTGAGATCGTGCCACTGCACTCCAGCCTGGGTGACAGAGCAAGACTCCAAAAATAAGTAAAATTTTTAAAATGTTAGCCAAGGTGTTTCGGATATTGATCTCTTTCTTCAAATGCCTAAAACTAAGTAAATGTAAATTTCTCACTTTAAAAATTAACTTCTCCATCATTTCAAGCCTTAAAAATAGATGCTTATGTTTTTCCCCCCCTCACATTTTCATGATATACTCTTTCAGAAGGTAACCTGATGTTACCTTCGCAAGCAGGAAACTTGAGAAAAAATGGGAGAACACAGAGATATACCTGATAATTGGAATATAACGAAGAGTCAAGGGCAGAAATTCTCCTGCCTGGGGAGGCTGAGGCAGGAGAATTGCTTGAACCCAGGAGGCGGAGGTTGCAGTGAGCTGAGATTGTACCATTGCACTCCAGCCTAGGTGACCAGAGCAAAACTCCATCTCAAAACAAACAAACATTAACAAGACCACATACATGAACTTAGTATTGGCTTTAGAAAAGGCTTCTCCCGTTAAGCTCATGTCCTTGTTCTACCCCTCCAGTGTCATTTTATGTATCCCGATCTAACATACGATATACTTTTCATTTTTGTTGTCTTTATTGATTACTCAAGCTAGAACGAATGCTCTACAATAGAAAGGATCTTTTGCATTGTTCACTAATATATTTCAAACACCTAAAACAGCTCCTGCACATGGTAGGCCTCTTAACATTTATGGATTTAATGAAGGAATAAACTGTTTACTGTAGTCATAAGTCTTCTTACTTGTATGGGTTCTTGGCAGCATTTGCCATTTTCCCCTTATTATTTAATTCTTATTTCCCAGGATGCCCTCAGAAGGCTCTTGTTCAAACTCCAGCAGAAACCAGGCAGGATGACTTGGACAAAAGAAAGGCTGCTGGTCAACTGTGCCATGGCCTGTGGGGTCAGCAGGAGTCTGTGATTGTGAAGGAGAAGTTGTAAGAGGACCACCCCAGGAATCAGGGTCTCAGCCTTGCGCAGAACCAGCCTCTTGCCTGGGATATGTAGGCAGCAGTTCAGATGCTTCTGCTACCAGGATTCCCCAGGACCCTGTCTGGCACTGGGCCTGCTTGGAAACCTGTGCCATCAGTGGCTCAGGCCAGATACACATCCCAAGGAGCAAATCCTGGAGCTGGTGGTGCTAGAGCACTTCCTGTGTGCCCTTCCTGAGGAACCAGGGCTGGCTGCAGCAGCATAATCCAGAAAATGAGGAGGACGCATTGATCATGCTGGAGGATCTGGAAAGAAAGAGAAATGTATATGTAAGAAGAGACTGGTCTGATATGGTTGTGGAGAACTGGGAGCAAAACACTCTCAAAAGTGTGAGGCTCAGAGAACAATGGAAAGACCCAGCATTCAGCAGGAAATAGAGGATTTTGTTAAGCCAGACTTAGCAAAAAGAAGGGAAGAGTTGGGAACGTAGCAGATTCGGGGAGGGTAACTAAAAATGCAGAAGGCATTTTATGGGCATTGTGCTCCTTACCTTACAGATTACTCAGGCCCCAGCAACAAAAAGAGGTAGGTGGCATTATTCCCGTTTGTCCACATAAAAACTGAATTCGGAAAGGTTGTTAAACGGCTAAGGGCACACAGCCAACAAGTAAAGTGACAGAAACAAGATTTGGTCAAACCTTGCTTTGCTTGCCTTTCTGGCTGCTTCTCAGTATCCTGGGAGGTAAATAAGGCTTTGCTTTCTCGTCCTAGTCTCTCTTGGGGAACATTTCTGTGGACTCTTTCCTGAGGTTTAGTCTCTGTTAAAGTTCATGATATCCTTCAGGCTTAATGAGAGAGAAGCTTGTCTCCAGGTTTCAGCCTGTGCTCTGGAACAGAAAGTCCTTTTGCAAACGATGACCATTCAGACACCAGGCGAAGACTCTTCATACACTTGGGTTCAGCCCCCAGAGATCCACTTCAAGGAAAAAGGACCTGAGCCGCAACCATTGGAAGAACAAGGTGAGGCAAGAACTTCTCTAGGGGATTTCAACCGAAATGAACACTGAGTGGGT